TAGCTACTAAATTATTATTTATTTTAATTTAATAAGAGTAAAATAGAGTACTAATTATGCCAACTTTGATTAGGATGAAGTTCGAACCTAAGACCTTTCTTATTGAAATGAATGAGTAAGTTAACGGTGAACTAACAGAAATTAACGGAAAAGATAATATTTAACGGAAAAGTTAACGGATAATCATATTCATTAAGGATAAATTAGGAAATCTCAAGGAAAAATTAAAATATGATCGATCTGAGCCATTCATTTGATTAAAAAATTTGACCGCCATTTTTTCTACCCATTATAGGCCTAACTCTCTTGGGCTCTTATTAGTATATAGTAGATATAATCTAATTACGGTAGAATTTTCATCCTAGAGTATTGGGTTGGGTCAAATGGTTTGGCCTTATAATAATAAGTAGACTTTCGATAATTAATTTTATTTGGGCTAAATAATATTTATTGGGCATATAGAATATATATACATATATTGGGCTTAATATTTGGGTATTTAAAAATCATAGTTTATATAATAATTAACCAACGCCCATAGTAACATATTTAGGTTTATATTTATATATTTGTTAGCAAAATATTTTATTATAAGTAAATAGTTCTATTTGAAAAATATTTATATCTAATATAAATATTTAGGAAAATACAGGGTGTTACAGATGTTAAGTAGCAAAACTTTATGTCAACTATTGTGGGAGAGTGTAATTGATTAAAATAATTCTGGGTCTCTACGTAAACTATTGGGCTACAAATCTCGCTTTATATCACATTACCTCATTATTCTTATTTTTCTTTAATACAGACACCAATTTATAACCTACATGGTTAACATTCAATGGTATACGTGTTATAAAGAGAATACATTTATTGTAGCGAGCTAAGCTATGGCTTAACTGTTCCTTTATATATTAAATAGTCAAGGCACTTCTGGTGCCTAGCTTTTGATCCAGATTATCATATAACGAGATCAATTAAATACAATTGTGTTGTCGACAACTATAATCTTTTATGTAAATTTCTCTCATATTTATAAAAAGGTTCATGTCAATTTCTAAGTCAACTAGATTCTAGCCATTTATCAAATATATTTAGATCTAGTCATTTTACATCCCAGTATTATGATTATTTGGTGCACTTATAAATTTATTGGGGGTTTACGCCTTCTGGATGAATGTCTTAGAACATAATTCTTTAAGAGATTTCAACAGTAACAAAGTTCTTTTACTATATTTAACTTTCTGCGAATTTTTATCTTTTACACCGAAGGTCTCCTACTCTTCTGACGTCAAGGAGCATTGGTAGATATATTTGGTCCAATTTGAGGACGGTATATGAGATTGAGCCACTTTGTTATGATGATCAGTATGACCAATAGACATGTTTTGCAGATTATTTGCTAAAAGTTGCAAATTGATTATCTTCTAAACTTCTAGTTCAGTCTCACTAGTATGTGGATTTAAATACTAAATATCTTTTCATTTCATAAAATTTCTCGACATTCTATTAAATTTGGGCTCATATCGATCTGAGATGGATTATAGAACACAAGCTCAAGTTGAATTCGTGTTTACGGGATCTATTAAACATCGTAGGGATTGTAATCCAAATGAGTGCTGCTTCACAATTGAAATAAGCATATTAAAATTCTAATATGAGATTTCTCCCATTGATCCGTCCCTGTTTGGTATAGGGTGCTTCCTGAGATTATATTATTAAGTGAAATTGAATATGATGTAGCAGAAGAACTTGTGAAGAAATCTCCATCAATACACCGGAGTCCAACAATCGTTGTATTGTCAAGTTGCGTAAGCTGAAGGGGAGGTTTGATCATTTCGGAGATTAGCATCACCATTCTCAAAATAATCATTCACCGAGAATGAAGAGACATTTGTACTGATAACGTGTTGTAAATGAAGAGATGGAAGATGACGAGGATAAGAATGGTAGGAAGGTTTATCTTTTTAGTTCTAAACTTTGGTCCGACAAGATTAAACAATTTTAGGGTTAGGGTGAAAATATTTTAATTAGATAAGCTAGGTAGCTCAAACGGGTAAGTTCAATAGCCCTAGTCATTTAAGACTATTCTTGTGGTCTAGCAACACCAAGTTGCTCTCTAGTATGGAAGGTTGTGGGTTCAAGCCTCGGTGGAGGCGATAGCAGATACTGCATTATTGAAACTTATTTAGTTATTATATGTTAATTTGAAAAGATACTTTGTTGAAACTTATTTAGTTGTTACATGTTAATTTGAAAATGTCAAAAGTTTTAATTATTTATTATATGTTAACAAGTATTTTCACCCGTGCGATGCACGGAATAGAATTGTTGTAATATATTAAGAATATTTAAATCGATATATAATTATTTAAGAGTTAATTTCACCAGAGGTCGCTTATCTTTCCTGACAATTTCAAATTTAGTCTCAGACTATCGTTATTAATTATTACGTTTTATTCTATGTTATAATTCTTACGTTAATATTCTTACTATTATTATTAACACTTAATTACTTTTAGAAAATATTATTACCACATATATTATTATATTATTATTATTAGTTTCCTTTCAACTTCTGTTATTATATAATGGCCGTGAAGGACAATAATAATATAATCATAATTAAATATTCTTGTATTGTATTCCGTGTCTTTCAAAAAAAAAAAGTATTCCGTGAGTCACAATAATAATATAACAATAATTAAATATTTTGCTATTCTATATTCTTCTAGGATTTTTATTACCATCATTAATTATTCTCTAATTTACCATAATTAAATAATTTAACCAATTAGAAAGAAAGATTATTAAATAAAGCATGAGACAATTTTTTAATTAAAAACTTTAAAAATTCATTAATAAAACATAAGGTTCTCATAGTTTTTTCTTAGAAACTATTTAATGAAGCATTTGTTTTGAGAAATTGGTGGGTCAAACCGCCTACGGCAGTTTGCGGTGAATAGATCTCGAAAAAATACACGATTTTAAATTTTTTTTTTTTTGTAAAAAACGGACAACTGAATCAAAAGTTATGCATTGCCGAAGTTTTGACACTTTACAACTTTAAAAAAAAAAAAAAAAAAAAAAAAAAAATCAATCGCCGGTTCAGCCGGCTAGGCGGTCGCGGAGGAGGATTTTAACTCAGAATTATTGTACGAATGAAAAAGTAGAAATCAATATATTTTATTAGGAAGAGAGATTTTTTGGGAATTGGATTGTACGAATGGAAAAATAGAAATCAATATATTTTATTAGGAAGAGAGATTTTTTGGGAATTGGGCGGGAAGTTAAAGTTCAGGATTTTGTTTTTATATATAGTATAGATAGATTATAATATGAATTATATTACACTATTTTATAATATTAGAATAGAATTTTAACACAGAGTTATTGTACGAATGGAAAAGTAGAAATCAATATATTTTATTAGGAAGAGAGATTTTTTAAGAATTGGGCGGGAAGTTAAAGTTCAAGATTTTGTTTTTATATATAAGCCCTGTTTGGTAAAATGACTGTTAGCTGATTGTGTTAATTAGATGGTATAAATAGTTAATAACATTAGCTGATTGTAGAAAAGTGTTTGGTAAATTAGCTGTTAGCTGATAGCTGTTTGGTATAATTTCTTTTCTCAAAAAGCTAATTGAAAAAGTTGCTTGGAGTAGCTTTTTGAAGTTTAGCCTTTTGGAGTTTCAAAAAGCTAATTAACCAAACATTTATATTGATATTTTAACTAAATCAAACAATTAATAGTGGTCAAATAAGTCAAAATTGGCCTATAGGTCAATTTTTTATCAAACAGGGCCATAGTATAGATTATAATAATAATTGTATTACACTATTTTATAATATTATAATAATATTTTAATCCAGAATTATTGTACAAATGGAAAAGTACAAATAAATATATTTTATTAGGAAGAGAGATTTTTTAGGAATTGGGCGGGAAGTTAAAGTTCAGGATTTTGTTTTTATATATAGTATAGATATAGATTATAATAGGAATTATATTACATTATTTTATAATATTAGAATAGAATTTTAACCCAGAGTTATTGTACGAATAGAAAAGTAGAAATCAATATATTTTATTAGGAAGAGAGATTTTTTAGGAATTGGACGGGAAGTTAAAGTTCAGGATTTTGTTTTTATATATAGTATAGATAGATTATAATAGGAATTGTATTACACTATTTTATAATATCAGAATAGAATTTTAACCCAGTGTTATTGTACAAATGGAAAAGTAGAAATCAATATATTTTATTAGGAAGAGAGATTTTTTAGGAATTAGGTGGGAAGTTAAAGTTCAGGATTTTGTTTTTATATATAGTATAGAATTGAAAATGTCAAAAGTTTTAATTGAGTCTGATCGACCAACAACTTGAGAGTTTCACATTAATACTTCCTCTGTCCCATTTTATGTGTCCTACTTATTATTCATCGGTCAAATCAACTCTTTCTTATTTGTTTATTTTATTTAGTATTTTTTTACTTATTTTTTAAATTTATTAGTTTTTGTGTTTAATAGTACTTTTAGTGTAGTTTCTAAATATATAAATTTTGTATACTAATACTAAACTTAATATTATAAAAAATTGAATTAAAAATAACTTCAGTCAAGTTTCGTGAACCGAACCAGACACATACAATTGGACGGAGGGAGTAAGTCTAAATATTTTTTTTTTTAAATAATAAACATAGCATCTGTTGGTCAGTTGAATCACCGTGATTTTCCATCCATAAGCCGTCGGGTCGAAATGTAGAAACGCTTAAGGTAAGTGATTTTACCGTTTGTCACAAGATTATTCTGGCGAAGCTGGATCACCTAAAAAATTTTTTTTTAAACAATGAAATTCCCTTCTACCTACCTATAATTTACTATGAAAAAGTAAAGAATGGTAAAAGTTATAAGAAATTTCAACGGGCAGAGTTGGGACACAAATTTACGGAAGAATCTGGAATGACACGGTCAAGAGTCAAAATCGTATCTCCTGACGAATTAGATATTTCCATGCACTTTTAGTTTATTACATTGACGAAAGAAAACGCGGATTTGATCCAACGCCATTGTCCCAACGCCGTATTAAAAAACCGACCCGTAAGGTATTCTCTCTCTCCTCTCTCTTCTCCCTTCTCTGATTTTCTTCTCTTAATCTAACTTGAGATTCCGTCATTTCGTTTTGGTCTATGGTTTTCTGTCAATAATCAACTTGAATTGGGGAAAAATATATCAACCATGTGAGGTTTGATGTTGCGTTTGGGTTAACAGAGAGAAAAAGTTGAAATAAAAAAGAAAGGATTAGAGAATGGTTTTCGGACTGTTGAGAAAATCTTGAAATGGAGATTATATTCCGGTAGCAACTTTGTAAGGCTTTATGTTGCGTTTAGGTTAACAGAGATTGAAAAGAAGAACTAAGATTTCTCTGTAAGGCTTGTAATGGAGATGTTTTGTATTCCGGTAGCGTTCCCGGGAAAATTTCTCTGTATTTCATGTATTTAAGTTTTGTTTGTTCCTTTATTAATTTATTTCCATGTGATTTTGGGATGTTACTCTGTCGTGAGGATTAGACCTGTTACAAAGCCCTGCGGGAGAGATTGTAATTGAAACTCTGACTGTTTTTTAGAGTAATTGTTTGAATTTCTAATCATATGTTTGGACTACCTCCTCAGATATATAGTTTTCATTGATTTCATTTTATTGGAATTGTATGGTAGGCTTGTTGGTTTCTTCTGTGATTTTTTATGGCATTTGAAGCATCATCTTGATTTTGTTTTAAACCTATTGTTTTGTAAGATTCTGATCCAAATATGCTAATTGAAATAGTCTAGACAAGGAAAGTGAAGCTCTGGTGTTGTGAGGAGTCTGAAAAATGCTACTTAGGCCAGTCAGTTTATTTAATATGAGAATCTTATTCTACATAGTTATGAGGAAGAGATGATCAAATTTGATAGAAATTGGGTGAGAAACTGGTGCGGTATGTGTTGACCAGTGTGGCAAAAGCCTACTGCTTCCTCATCACTGAGGATCGGCCACAGTGGCATGTCTTGCCTATAATTGGCCGGCTCAAACCAAGATGGCTGGGATTCGAACTCATGACCTTGTGGTTACAAGTTTGTATCCTTAGCCATCTTGGCTAACCCCAGGGAGCACCATTATTGTTTTTGGGTGTGGGGATACAACACATTATTCAGCTCAAACTTTTCTAGTATCCATGTCTCTACTGCCTACATGGCTACATTGACCAAATTTTGTTTAGAACACAATGTAGCAAACCTGGGGTGCTGCCTGGTAGCATTGTTGAAGTGTTACATTTTATAAGTTCTAATGATTGTTTAGTAACTCATTAGTGGTTGACCATTGTCAATCTCTGAACACTTCAGATATTCTGATATTCACTGCGCTTTATGTTTGCCAACTGCAAATTATGCATAGCCATGTCTGATCTTACTATTGCCCATAATCTTGTGACGTTTCTTGAACTAATCCATACTACCTGGCAATGATTTACATTGAATAAATGATTGGAACTGTCTTTTACTGCAGCCACTTTTTAAACACTAGGAGGACATCTGCATTATATGGATAGAGGACTACTTGGGCAGGAGGCAGCACGGGAGTTGCTCATTGCCATCTCCAACTCTCAACCAGAAAAAGTTGAATCAGATCAGGAATCAGATCAGGCTGAAAGTTCAAACGGTTGGGAAGCTGGTGCAGTGATTAATGGGGACAGAACTGAGCTCTTCAGGTCTCAACTGATTTCAATTTCGTATCCCCGGGCTCCAAATCCTCCAAATGATGGGCCTGTGTGCAATGGCCATGCATGATTGATATGATGGGAGCTAATGTCTGCTATGGATGACTGTCAATGAAGCATTTCCATTTCCATTTCCATTTCTGTTGTAGCATCTTGAACTTTCTCATGCTCTAGTTATGCTGACCAGAAAGGCGAATACCAAAATGTAGTATTGAACTTGCATGTGGATGGATACTTGTAACTTTGTCCATTGTCTCACATAATTCTGTTGATGTCATTTGTATGTTACAGTGCACCATATTTCTCTTGTTAAATCCTTACAGATTCCAGTATAGTTTTTGAGGATATGTAAACCTTTTGAAATTTACTTCTAAGGTTGTGCAAGTAAACTTTAGATTCACTTCTAAGATAGTGATTATTCTATGATATAGGTCATGTTTGGTAACATAGTTAGCTTATCATTCAATTTTAATTGGTTTGACCACTATTAGCTATTTGACTTAATTAAATAACCAATATATGTGTTTGATTAATTAATTTTTTATAATAACTTATTGCTCCAAAACGTTAAAATTCAAAATATTGCTAAGTAATTTTTCGATCAACTTTTTGAAAAAGTCATTTTGCATATGATCAGCTAACAATTAATTTACCAAACATTTTTTTACAACTAGTTTATGTTTTTTTTTTGGTGGATAAAGAGAGGCTAAGCCTCAAGAATTATCTAACTCTACAGATGAGAGCTCCTCCAGCGTTCCGGGCTAAGAGATCAACCAACCCTTCCGTGGCTTCAGTGAACACAAAGGTTCCCCAGTCATTCTCTAGGGTCAAATTACCTAAGAAATCTTTACAGCAATTCCCTTCTCGAAAGACGTGAGAGAAAAGGATACCATCCAACTTCATCACCATGTCCATGCAGTCCTGTAGTAAGGTGCCATGAGTATTATCTGAATCTTGTTACCATTCATTAAGTCAATAATGTTATCAACTAATTAAACTTACTAATCCAATCAGTCAACCGCTATCAACTAACAACTATTTACCAAACACCCTCGCAGTGTTTGTGCTACACTTTATAGCATCTATTTTTCTACTGGAGTAATCAATAACTTACTAGGAAGAATTGATTCAAACATTTACCCTTGTTTCCCCAGCCACATTTCCAAACAAACAATACTTGGTATTACCCAAAATTCATGTACAAATAATTGATAGACTTATAAGCAAAGTATTGGAATCTCATTTCATTATATATATGCATGAATCAATACAGGCTTGCAATTTGAGGACTACAAAACACCAATACTTCATCAAGACTGGCCTTAGACTCATCCCCAAACAATGACTCCTTCCCATCTGCCCTCTTCTTATAAGACAGCCCCAATCTTGACTTAGCTTGCCTCAAGTCCCCAATCCCTGAATTTGTGTCCGGCCCTGCAAACCCTCCCATCACCGGAGCCAATGGCGGTCCGATGAGCAGCCCGTCGGCACCGAACTGCGGGCCGCCACGCGCGTAGTCGAAGAGGGCGGCGCCACTGCCCCCAACCTTGGGTAAGACTATGGGGTCATCATCATGGGTGTCATTTTGTGGCCAGTAGAAGAGAAAAGCATAAAAAGTATCATAGTAATCATCTGTGCTTCTGTAGCCCTCAGGGTTGAATGCCCCAAACTTGAAGGAGTTGTTTGTGTAGCCAATGATGACACATGGCCCCTTGAAGTCACAGTTTTGGTGGAAATCAGTGGCACTAAATCCATCGGTTGATGCCTGATAGCAGCATTTCAACTCCCTCCCTGCTTACACTAACATATTCAGATTATGCAAACGGATGGGATTAATCAAATTAAGATCAATTAACTAGTCTAATACTTTTTTTAGGTGTAACCCAGGGTTTCTGTTAGGATCAAATGCCCAACTTTATCACCTGGCAGGGTACTGAACTTGCCCCATTTTCAACCATCCCCTAGCCACATATCACTTGTTAAAATTAATTAAGCGTTAACAATTACACAAAAATTTATAGCTCAAATCAAAGATGCAATTTTTTTTTGAAAGGATCAAAGACGCAATTTTATTTTCTTGTATACCGCCACCACATTTTCGAGAGACAAGATGCTGGATTTGTTCTTTCAATGGCCTCAACCCAACAGTCCCAGAACGTTATGTTGTGCAACCGTGTGCACCATGCAAGGTGCACACGGTTTCAAATTCATAATTTCTATATTATAGATTTATAATTTCTATACTATAAATTCATAATTTCTATACTGTAGATTCATAAAATCTATAATGTAGATTCATAATTTCTAAAATGTAGATTCATAATTTAAATGCAGTAGATTCATAATTTCTATACTGCAGATTCATAATTTTAGTACTGTAGATTCATAATTTCTAAATTGTATAGTTATCAAATTATGAACATGTAGTTCTGTGATTTGTGAATACAGAGTTCAACAATTGGGAATATGAACATTGAAAATTATGAACATAGAGTTTTGTAATTGTGAATATAGAGTTCAATAATTATGAATATAAAGTTCAAAAATTATGAATATATAGCTTTATAATTATGAACATATAGTTCAGTAATTATGAACATAGAATACAGCGCACCATACATGGTGCACACAGTTGCACAGCATAATTTGCTCAACAATCCCCTAGCCACTAATGAGTCACTAATTGTTGGACTTGGCCCTTTACGGGCAACCACTCAACAGTTTTCACCATCATACACAGATATTAATCCCTTTGCTGAATTGTAAGCACCTCTAACGGTATGACAACCAGAGAATTAACTAGTCTAATATGATATTGGCCCTGTTTAGTAAAATAGTTAGCGCATTAGCCAATTTTGATTTTTTTGACCACTATTAACTGTTTGACTTAGTTATACAACCAATATGAGTATTTGATTAATTAGTTTTTCATAACAGCTTATTACTCCAAAACACTAAAATTCAAAAAGCGGCTCAAAGCAGCTTTTTTTAATAAGCTTTTTGAGAAAGTCATTTTGTATGTAATCAGCTATCTGCTAACAATTAATTTACCAAATATCTTTCTACCATCACTATCAACTAGTCAAACTCGCTAACCCAATCAGCTAACATGTATTTACCAAACACCCCATTATAAACTCATTTTCAACACTCCCGGTTAGGCCATTGCAATTGAAACCTCCTTAAAGCAAAAACTGACAGAACTTAAAAAGCACAAATCTCTAGACTAAACAATTGGGTAATTGGTGGGATTACATACCGTTAGGACTATAAATTTAATTTTTCAGTATGCTACACTCTTAGCCAATAATTACAACCAAAAAATTAAAATAGTTGAGCTAATATATATTATGCCTCAAATCCAATATCATCACTCTGCAGATTGGGTTGTGAACTACGCACCTTTCAAGAAAGTTTTGGTGAGAAGAGAAGGTGGGAAGGGGAGGTCAATGTTATGGTACTTAGGAGGCTGTGGCTTGTCTTCAGTTTTGCGTCTTCCAAAATCCCAATTGAACAAACTGTGTGGAGAGTTGAGTAATCGAGTAGCCATCTGCACATGGAACTATGCTTCATTGCTTGCCACTCACTTTCATGTATTAACAACCTCACATACATGTATCTCAAATAAAGACTCAACTCATAATTGAACCATATAGCATTTGCCTTATCCATTAGTTTCCATATATCATTTGGGCCTTATCCTTAGCTTGTCACTCGTGGGGATACATTCATACATTACAATAGTTATTGGGTGGACCATCCTCCACACAGCTGTGTGGACTACGGTCTAAAAACAACGTCATTTTGCGTAATTTTTTTTTCACGTGACCCACTACAACATACATTTTTATAACTTATAATGTACATTATTTTAAAGCATAATGTACATTATTCTAAATCACAATGTACATTATCCTAACTCATAAAGTACATTATCTTATACCAGAAGTTTCATTATTCTAACACATAATTACAGTATTCTAATTCATAATGTGCATTATTCTAATTCATAAAATTCAACGACGTCGTTTTGGACCGTGGTCCACCCAGTTATGTGGACCACGGTCAACAAAATAATTTGCTCATACATTACTTGCAATCGTTATACCTTTGATAATGTCCACCTTGCATTCTGGACTTGATCAAAAAATTATATGTATGCAATTAATATATTATGTGTCTGCATATTATGTGCTTGTAATTAACATATTATGGACATGTAATTAATATATTATGTGTCTTCTACTTATTTACATGCATATAATCTGTTAACACTAAACACATAATTGGTCCTGTTTGGTAAAATAGTTAGCCTATAAGTCAATTTTGGTTTATTTGATCACTCTTAGCTGTTTGACTTGGTTAAACAATCAATATGAGTGTTTGATTAAGAGTTAATCAACGATTTGGTCCCTCAATTATTAGCGAACTGTCAATGTAGTGCCTCAATTGCTTATTCATCGATTTGGTCCCCGAAAACAATTATTTTTAGTCGATTTAGTCCATCCGGTCGTCGATTTGGTCCCCGAAAATAATTATTTTTAGTCAATTTAGTCCTTCGGCCGTTGACGGAAGACGGCATGAGGGACTAAATCGACTAAAAATAATTGTTTTCATGGACCAAATCGATGAATAAGCGATTGAGGGACTACATTGACAATTCGCTAATAATTGAGGGACCAAATCGTTCATTAACTCTTTGATTAATTAGTTTTTTGTAACAACTTATTGCTCCAAAATGCTAAAATTCAAAAAGCTGCTCAAAGTAGTTTTTTCGATCAGCTTTTTGAGAAAGTCATTTTGTATGTAATTAGCTAACAGCTAATTTACCAAACACTTTTCTACAATCAGCTAATAATATCAACTAGTCAAACCAACTAACTCAATCAGCTAACAGCCATTTACCAAACACTCCCAAATATATCACTGCAAACACATAATTTAATTATCTGAATATCATTTTAGATCAAGATCCACAATAAAATGTGAATTCTGATATATGATATAATTGTCAAAGAGCCTCGATGGAGGCGATTATTGATGTAGTAAATTGTATATGTGGGTATCCCCTTTCTTATCTACTATACTAATAAGAGCCCAAGAGAGTTAGGCCTATAATGGGTAGAAAAAATGGCGGTCAAATTTTTTAATCAAATGAATGGCTCAGATTGATCAGATTTTAATTTTGCTTTTAGATTTCCTAATTTATCCTTAATGAATATGATTATCCGTTAACTTTTCCGTTAAATATTATCTTTTCCGTTAATTTCTGTTAATTCACCGTTAACTTACTCATTGATTTCAATAAGATAAGAAAGGTCTTAGGTTCGAACCCCATCCCAATCAAAGTTGGCATAATTAGTATTCTATTTTACTCTTATTAAATTAAAAATAATAATTTAGTAGCTACAACAAAAAATAATACATATGAATTTCTTTAATTTAGAATTATGTGTCTACAATGTCTTTATTCAAAAAAAAAATTATTCATTATCAATAAATTAAATAAGAGAAATAATTTCATTAGTTATATTGTCTTTATTTTTCTCCAATATAAAAATTCTTTACATTCAAACTACCTCGCAATGTCCTTGTTTGGCAATCAGCAGTTAGCTCTTCAATATTAGTATATATTTAATATTTTATGCCCTAATTTTTATTTGTTTTCCCTTATGTCCCGTATTTGGTTTCAACCAAACCTATACAATTATTTTATTAACAGTTATAATCAATCTTGAGTATATTATATTGCATTTGTAAACTTAGAATTGTCTATTTAAATATGTAAATTTAACATTCAATTATCTATGCATGAACAATTCCAATATAATCTTGCCTTGATATACTTTAAAGTACTTATTTAAAAAAAAAAAAAAAAAACATTGGGCATTATCCCAATCGCGCAATGCGCGTAAAAAACTAGTCTTATAATAAAGATGATATAATTGTCAGACTTGTCCCGTGGGCCTGCTTTTCCAATTCAAAAACAATTATATTACACTTATTCTTAGTTTTTGTTTGGGATAAAGTGCAAATAAGCCACTGGATTATTTAGAAAACAGCAATTAAGCCACCAAAATCAATAACCTCCAAATAAGCCATTAAACCTGGAAAAAATGAGCAATTAACATTTTTAACAAGTTAACTATAGGTTTTTGTTGACTGGATTGTCAAATATTTATTTCATTTATGTTTTTGTTTATTATAATCCACCTACATAGTAATATATTTTAAAGTAATTATAATCAAAATAGTTTTATCTTGTCTAGATATAATTTATTTATTTATTTATTATTTTTTAAACAGAAGATCCAGTTAAAATAATAATAAATAAATAAATCAAATATCGACAAGACAAAAACCCCTAAACCCTAAACTCTAAACTGCAAAAAATTGACCACCGTCATACTAAAATAGAATCCACCACACTGCCCCATAGAATGCACACATTTACTACTAGCAATGCATAACTTTTACTATAGGAGTGCACAAAGGTATCATACGATACACCACACCTAGCGCCCCAATGCATAGCTCAACGGCCTATGATGCACCCCCTCCTAAAATCATCTCCAATAAATAAATGATGATGAGAAGATTTATCAACAAACCTAATCGAGCGCATACTCTAACAAACATGAAGCCATGTCGACCATGTCAAGCAGTCATCACCGGCGCCAGAAAAAACCAAAAGAAAAACGAAGGAAAATGACAATAAAAATTTCCTAAATCATGGTTATAATGGCCTAAAATCACACAGCATAATCTATAAGGAAACTGAGTGGAAAACTACCTAAATTCCCCTAACACGATAAATAAATAAATAAGGGTTAGAACAAAATATAGTACTTGTAGTCCTTGTGGAATACGACACTCATTACTCAATCTTCTATACTCAAAAATGATAAGTACACTTGCCTAATCAAATATGTATAAATGCAAATCGAGTACAATGCCTCCTTGAAAAATGAGTCGCTAACGAAGTTATAGGAATTTAAGGTTAGACTGGAGGCTGACAAAAGGATTTGGTACTCAGTCGTATCGCGCTTCCTTGAAAATGGAATCGGTAACGATGTTAGAAAGACTTTAAGACTTGACTAGAGGTCTAGAAAAGGAGTCAAAGCACAATCTTATCGCGCCTCCTTGTCAAAAGAACCAACAACGAAGTTAGAAAGAATTTAATGTTTGATTGGATACTTGAAAAAGGAGTCGACGCTCAGTCTTACCGCACCTCCTTGAAAAAAGGAGTCGGTAATGAAGTTATAAGGGCTTGAAGTTTGATTGGAAGCCTGGAAAATGAGTCACCACTCAATCTTACTATGCCTCTTTGAAAAAAGGAGTTATTTACGAAGTTAGAAAGAATTTTAAGGTTTTACTAGAAGCCTGAAAAAGGAGTCAGGGGTCAATTTTACCGCCCGCGCCTCATTAAAAAAGAAGTCGATAATGAAGTTATATGGGTTTGAGATTTGACTGGAGGCTTGAAAAAGGAGTTGGGGTTTAGTCTTACCGTACCTCCTTGAAAAATGAGTTGGTAATGAAGTTATAAGAATTTATGGCCCGTTTGGTTCACGGAATATGCCAGGAATGGCATAGCATTCCCAGTAATAGGCATATTCCTTTGTTTGGTAACCATTTCTATTACCAGGAATGATATTCCTGGTAATAGCCTATTACCTCAAATAAGGTAATAGCTATTACTAGGGCCCCCCTGGTATTAGCCTATTACTGAACGCTCAGGAATAGATTTTAGAATCTATTTTCTTTTTTTACCACTTTCTTTAACCTAATTTTTTTTTATCCTATATATAAATTTATCCTATTTCACCACCGTCGTCGCCACCACCACCACTACCACCCCAGCACCACCACCACCACCACCACCGCACCACCACCACCACCACCACCACCATCACATATTTTTATAAGGGTATTTATGTTTTTTAAAACATATTTCATTTCTATTCCTTAAATCAACCAAACAATGTAATATAATTCCTAAAGTCTATTCCTTCCGCGAACCAAATAATATAATACAATTCCTATTCTATTCCTTGCCTATTCCATTCCTTATGGAATAGCATTCCTATTACCTCAAAATTCATTCCGTGAACCAAACGTGTTGTTAAGGTTTGACTAGAGTTCTAAAAAAAGAGTTGGCGTTCAGTCTTATTGTGCCTTATTAGAAAGGAGTCTAGCTCAGTGTTACCGCACCTCCTTTTAAAAGGAGTTGGTGAAGAAGTATGAAGGGATTTAACGTTTGACTGGAAGTTTGAAAAATGAGTCCAACGCTCAGTCTGACTGCGTTTCCTCGAAAAATGAGTCTGTAATGAAATTATAAGGGTTTGAGGCTTATTAGAGGCTTGAAAAAGTAGTTGACACTCAGTCTTACTATGCTTCCTTGAAAAAAAAAAAGATAACAAATTTAGAATGAATTTAAGGTTTGACAGGTAGTGTGAAAAATGAGTTGGTGCTCAGTTTTACAGCGCCTCCTTGAAAAAGAAGTCAGTAACAAAGTTATAAAGGTTTGAGATTTGATTGGAGGCTTGAAAAAAGAGTAGACGCTTAGTCTTACCGCACCTACTTGAAAAAGAAGTCGGTAACAAAGTTATAAGAATTTAAGGTTTGACTAGAGGCCTAAAAAAGGAGTCAATACTCAGTCTTACCAC